ACCCCGGGGCTCAGATTTTGCTGGAGGCCACTGGGTGGACTCGCCAAAGTGCAGGGTTCCGGGAGACCCCAGACAGTGACAGCGCCGACGAGTGAGCAGCTGGACGCAGACGCCCAGGAGATGGAACGCACAGCCTGCTGAGGAGCGCCCGAGGTCCCGGATTCCCTCCCCTCCCGTGTTGGTTGGACTTGGACGTGCTGCCCCAGGTGGTCCCCGATACGCTGCATCAGAACACAGCCTGTGCCAAGAAAAATCCCGTATATCGGTTGGGGTTTATCACCCACAAACTCTCCTTGTCTAATTAGCTTAACCTTATACGTGTTCCTTTTGTACCAGTGGAATCCAAAGGCACTGAGACATTTGGCCCTCCGCTGGCATCTGCGGTTGTTGGGGACGTGAGCTCTTGTCGCAGGAGAGGGCTGTACATCAGGGGGTCACTTGACCTCCACTTAGTGCCTGATGGCCCATTATGCCTGGCAGAGGGTGGAGGCTTTGGATTGCCAGGCTTTGGGGAAATAGCTTCCAACAGCATAGGATTTGTGTTTACTTTTTTTGTTGTTGTTTTTTGTTTTTTTTGGTACCGGGGATTGAACTCGGGTCCTTGCGCTTGCAAGGCAGGCCACCGAACCACTGAGCTAAATCCCCAGCCCTTGTGTTTACTTTTTTTGTTGTTGTTTTTTGTTTTTTTTGGTACCGGGGATTGAACTCGGGTCCTTGCGCTTGCAAGGCAGGCCACCGAACCACTGAGCTAAATCCCCAGCCCTTGTGTTTACTTTTTAAAAACACAACACTAGTGGGGGAAACAGCTGGAGAGGTTGGAGGTGGAGTGGGTCTTCAGTAGGCGTCTAGGGCTCTGTTTCCAGCCTTCTCCCCATGTTTAAATGTCAGTGTGGTGGGAGGTTTGGAGTTCCATCTGCAGAGTGGCAGAGTTGCAATTCTGTTGCTAACGCAGACACTGGTGACATTTGGGGCCCTGAGTTCAGGCGCCTGCTTGACAGGTGCCTGTGGCCCATCCCATAGGCCAGTGGTGGGTGCTGTCCAGGCTGGCCAGGATTCTGGAGTTGGCCCCAGCTGCTGAACCACAACCAACGCGGGTGTCACACCTGCTCCCCGGGGCGGCTCCCGTCATCAGAGACGGCACAAACTCCTGGATCCTGAAATGCTGAAGTCATCCTTGGTGGGCGGAGGGGCCAGGTCTGAAGAATCACCTGAGGGTGAGTCCTTGCCCTGGAGGGTCCCCCCAAAAGGACCTGTGAGCACCTCTCACAGCCCTGTGCCTCTTTCTTTGGTCTTTTACTGTACCTCTTGATGAAAGGGCAATCTTTCATTGTATAGTTTGCCTTAAGAAAAGCCATATAAATTGAGCCAGTTTGCTTTTTTCTTTTTTTTTTGAGATAGGTCTCACTATGTAGTCCAGGCTGGCCTCGAACTCATGGAGATCTTCCTGCCTCAGCCTCACGAGTGCTGGGATTATAGGCATGCACTATTATGCCCGGCCTCCGGTTTACATTTTTGCAGTCTGAATTTTCTGCCAGGATTCTGATCAAATCTGTCCCATTGCGATCCCCTGGCCGAGGCAGAAAGCATCATGACTTGAAAAGTGCCGCTTCCGATGGGGAAGTGGGAGGGATTGCACCTGACTCAGCCTACGACGCGGTGAAGTGTCTCGCCAGGTGCACCTGTGGCTTCGAGAGGACACCCTGTCCTCCTCAGTCACCTCCTCCACAATCCAGAGCATTGGGCTCCTTGTGATCACTTTGTTTTGGATTTTTAAAATAAAAATGCAATACCTCGCTCGTAACAGGTTGGCAGTGCCTACATTAGGTGCTGTGTTCTGGGCCAGGTAGGTTATGGCTCTGGGCACCTTCCCAAGGCAGCACCCTACCCCAGGATGGGAGGGCGCCCGCCTGGCACTCGGTCACCCGAGGGTGCAGCTGTGGGCTCCTCTTGGTCTCAGACTTAGCTGCTCAGCGTACAGAGCTGCTGGCGACATCCATGGGGACCCCCAACCTACAGCCCGTGTGGGTCTGAAAAACTGGTGACCTCATTTTAACGAAAGACTTCATCCTTTGGAGAAACTGAAATGAGAATTCTGGATGTCAGGCCTCAAGGTCAGCCTGTGGGGTACAGACCAGTGGGACCAGAAAGTGATAGAAGAGCTTAAAAGAAAAAACAGTCCATGCCGCAAATGCGGCTGCTATTTTCTCCACCATACATTTATTTAAAAATCAACGCGTGTATGTGATAAGGAAGGAGGGGTGTTAGGAGAGGACATAACTCGGAGCCTCCTTCATGTTGGGTTGGTTCTGTCCCCATGTGCTCTGCCCCTTCAGCGGCCACCCTGGCTGCCCAAGGCCATGCTGGCACCGCCCCGGCAGGCGTGCGTGGGGGACAGGGTTGGTTTGGGTGGTGGTCGCCGTAGGGAGCGCCTCCTGTGGGTGTCTTGGTGAGGCAGCGGCCAAACTGTGTGTTTTGCGCTTTGGATGCTGACAACTACCAAACCTCCGGAGCTCAGTTTCTAGCCTCCCGATCCGCCGGCGCTGGCCGTGTCCTCTGCAGTGCTGTGGTGTGGAGTTTCTCTCATGAGTGATGGCCGGCAGCTTCCCTTTGAAAAGTTACCTGTGCCAGGCTGGTTTCTAGGGCGTGGGTCTTTGCTCCTGACTTGCGGGAGTGCTTAACCTTATGAAAGTATTTTGGCATGTGGCCAACCATCGCCTTCCCCTACACGTATGTGTTTGATTGTGTCCATCTCCCCTATAACCTCGCCCCAACTTCCTCCCTCTCCCCTTTCTTACCTTCCTCTTGTCGAATACCAGACTACTTTCGTGTCCTGTTTGAGGTTCCACATTTTAGGGACAGCATGAGATACGTGTCTTCCGGGGTGTGGCTTCTTTCACCTAACGTGCCTACCCCGTTGATCCACGTTCCTGCAAGTGCCGTAAGGGCATTCTTCTTTACGGCTGAATAATACTCCACAGTGTGTGCATACACATTTTCATTACCAGGTGTCTCCTCGGTAGCTACCTTGGCTATTGTAGATTGTGCCGCAGTAAATCCAGGTCTGCAGGCACCCTTCCCTAGGGTATGCCGACTCTGTGCTGATTTCAAGGGTAGCTGTGCCAGGCTGCGCTCCCACCAGCAGCACGGAAGGGTTCCTTCCCCCACCTCGCCAGTATTTGCTTTTGTAATTCTTGATCGGCACTAGGGTGAAATGGAATCTGTGTATTTTTGATTGCATTTCCCTAGTGGCTGAAGGCGTGGGATATTTTTTCATGTAGTTATTGGCGGTTGGTGCCGCTTTTGAGAAGCATCTGCTCAATTCATTTGCCACTTATCACGCCCTTTGGTGTTTTGGCGTTGAATTTTTGAGTCCTGTATAATCGAGACGCGCGTAGCTGGCGAAGATCTCCCACTCGGTAGGCGGTCTCTCCACTCTTAGTTTCCTCCGTTGGCTGTGCAGAAACTTAATTTGCTGTGGTCCCATTCGTTGATTCTTGCTGTTATTTCTTATGCTCCAGGAACTGTAGTCCTGTTCAGAAAGTCTCTCTCTGTGCCTATGGCTTCACGTGTTTCCCCTGTGTTTTTGCCGAGCAGCTTCAAAATTTCAGATCTTATTTCTAAGTCTTTGATCCACTTTGACTTAATTTTTGTTCAGGATGAGCCACAGGGATCTGATTTCAAAGCGGCTGTATTTTTGGCTTTGTTCAGAATGAGGCGGCCGCAGTTGGGTGGCTTTGCTTCTGTGTCCTGTACGCGGCGCCTTTGGTTCACAAGGCTCTTTCTCTGCCAGGACCGTGCTGGTCTTCTTCTCATGGTTCTGTTGTAACTGGAGATCCGGTACTATAATGCTTCTAGCCTTGCTCTTCCCGCTCGGGGTTACTGTGGCTATTCTGGATCCTTTGTGTTCCCATATGGATCTTAGGGTTGTTTTTTTCTAGTTCTGTGAAGATTGTCACTGGAATTTTGACGGGGTTTGCAGTGAATCTGTGGGCAGTATTCTTCTGATCCATGAACAAGGAGATCTTCCTACCTTGTAATGTGTGCAGGTCTCTCCTGGGTGTTTTGTACATTTCCTTGTAGAGATCTTTTGCCCCCTTGGTTAGGTTGATTCTTCGGTATTATTTTATTTGAAGCTGTTGTTAGTGGAATTGTCTTGATTTTCTCGGCCAGTTTATTACTAGTGTGTAGGGCTATTTTAAAAATATTTTCATATATGGAAGAATGCTTTTTCTAAACAAAGCAGAACAGCATTTGCTGTGTATGCTAAATATGTCTCCAGTGGGTTTGTGGCATTTTTCTGTACATAAATTTTAATTTTATGTCACACTGGCTGTCATTTCCTCTGAAGATTTCTGGGATGTAGAGTTTACGAAATCCTTCTCCACTCTGAGAAACGTAATACAAGACAATTTCTTCTACTTTTGTGGCTCCTATTTCCGCATCTTTGGTTTGTTCGACATGCATTTCTCAAATGATACCTCTATCTTACCCTAAAATAAAGTCCCAATACCTTTTATGTTAAATATTACACCTTCTCCTGACTTAAAATGTCACTTTCTCACCTGGTGAGTTTCTGACTGAAATTGAATCTCTCTCATGTTTTAATTAGTGGAGTTTTATGGTTTGCAAGATAAAATGAGCCGTTTCTCACCCCCCATTTCTTGGACTCCCCTGCAGGAGAGCCGGAGCCCGGTTTCCCCGAAAGCGCTGTGACTGCTGCTGGCAGCTGGCAGGGGTGATTTCGGGGTGCAGCTGCCTCAGCAGTCTGTGTGTCACGTTGAGGGTTGGTGATGTGGACGCTTCTGTCCCAGGGTGGGACCCAGGGTCCTCCAGACCCCTAGTCCTGGCCGTTGGCCGTGTGGATGTAGGAAAGCTCCTGGAGGGAAACGCTGCTGCTGTGTGTTTGACAATTTGTCCAAACTCTGGGGGTCTATAGTGTAGTCACATACCTAGAAATAAGGATAGTTTCTCATTCTTCTAGTTTCTTCACTTGTGCTTTTCTCGACTGACTGCTTCAGCTAAATCCTTGCACATCAAATACAGGGAGGCACCCTTCCTTTCCCACTTCTTGCTGCCGTGTATCTAGGCAAGCGATGGCGAACCTTTTAGAGCTTTCAGTGATTCAAGCAGCCCACCGCAGCACGCGTGCCACAGGTTCGCCACCACTGATCTAGAGTTGGGTCATTCAGCACTGTGCTGGCCTTCGCTTTTTTGCTTGTGATGTATCCATTTGCATTTGTGTCATGAATAATTTTTGCCAGGAGATGCTGAATATTGAAGAAAGCTGGGTTTTGTTTTAGCAGATCTGCTTTCCTTCTGTAGTTATTTTTCCTTCTGTAGTTATTAATAAGGAATATGAGGTTAATGGTTTTGCAGGTACTGAGCCATCTGTGCCTTGATCTGTAGTCACTGTTCTGTGTGAACTCACTTGGCTGTGTTTACACTGTTGTGTGTGTGTCATATTTTATGGAAATCATGCTTTAGGGTTTTGGTTTTGACTTTTGGGGCCGGGGACCAAACCTAAAATCATCACCGGCTCCATCACCACACTTCAGGGAGCCCCCACCCTCACACAGGAGGCGGCAGTGGGGCCTCGGTGTGGGCGGCAGTGGGGCCCCGCAGCCCAAAGACCCAGCCGGTGAGCGTAATAAAAACCATTGTGGCTTAATAAATAGCACGGCGTTGCTTGCAGCACCCCCAGAGCCCAGCAGGAGCAGCCGGACCCTGGGGATCGCCCACCGAGCCCACTCTGTGACCCGGGGCAGCACGGCCACTCAGGGGTGCTCAGGGGGCTTGCGGGCGTCCCTGGCACGGGAGCGGTACTTCTCCCAGAGCGTCAGGAGCTCCGAGAAGATGAAGACGGACGAGGCCAGTCCGGTGAGGAGCAGCAGATCTACCAGGGGGAGGAGGAGCGAGAGGGGTCAGAGGCAACGGCCGGGAGCCTCACCCCTTGCAGCATGCAGAACCGACCCCGGGCTTCTCCTCTGGGTGAATGGGGGCAGGGGAATTGGGGGCCTCTCCAGGACGTGCCGTGTGCAGGTGGCCCATGCCGAGTTCTGAGGTTTCGACTCCCCACTATGGAAACATCTGTCAACCAACTTTGCTTTGCTTCCTTTTGTTTTGTCTGGCACCTCACTGGACACGGGGGTCAGGCCACAGGGCAGAGTGGACGTCTGTGCTGTCTCATCTGTCTGGCCTCACAGGACTGACCCTCTCAGGGCTCTGGGGGGTGGGGCCGAAGCCACAGCAGCCCTGACTCTCTTGGCCGGCAGCCTCCCCAGCCTCCTCTGCCCTCTGTTCCCTGGTGGCGGAGGCTCGCCTGAATGCCCCAACTCGGCTGTGTCCCTTTCAGCTGGAGGCGGTGGCGGCCCCACTCCTGTCTCCAGTCGATCTGATGTCTAAGGCACATGGACCCCAGGCCCAGCTGGGTGCCAGCTGTGGGGAGATGGCACAGCGGCCCAGGACTCTCTCCCAGTCCGGGAGCCAGGATGCCGATTCCCACCCCCAGGTCCCAGCCTCAGTGGGCCGCCTCCTGGGTTTCCTTCGTGTCCTCTGTGTCTCCCTGGGACACCCTCCCGCCCCGGGTGGGGGGTTACGAGCTGTCCTCCCAGGGGGTCCAGCACCCCATCCTCAGGTTGCCAGGCTCACCGAGGGCCCCCAGGTTCTCCGTCTGGAAGACCTTCTGCAGGGGTGGGACGTAGATCACGGCCAGCTGGCCCAGCAGCGACCCGAGGACAGAGTAGAGAAACATGCGATTCCTGAGGAACCCGATTTCGAGGATCAGCTTGGTCTGCAGGGAGATGGGGCACCCGGCTTAGGCAGCGACCATGTCTGTGTCCCCTGCTCTGTGCTGCTGGATCCAGGCTGGGCCTCAGCGGGAGGAAGGGAGGGGAGCCAGGCAGGGCACGCGGTGGCCCCGGCTCACCTGAGAGCGGCAGCTCAGGGCGTTGAAGAGGTCAAAGAACACAAAGCAGGTGAAGGTCATGGTGGTGGTGCGGGGCGTGCTGGCTCTGTCCTCGGGGACCTGGGACACAGGTACTGGAGGTGAAGGATCGGAGGGATGCCGCACAGGCTCCCTTCACCCTTCTGCTGGGCGCTCTGCTGCTGCACAGCACAGCCGGGCTGCGAGGGGACACCGCACTTCCAGGGGGCGCCTGTGCCCGGGAGGTCCTGCCCTCTGGGGACCACGGGCCAAGACCACAAAGGGTGGGGCTGGGAGGTGCTGGGCCACTCTTGCCACAACACCCCCTGCCTGGCAGGATCCGCTGTCCCTGGGACAACTCTTCAGCCTGGTTTGATTCAGGCGCCTGCCAGTGTGAATCTAAACAGCTCCTGAACCCCGGAGTCCCACGCAGGCCGCAGGGTGCTGCCACTCGTGTGTGTCCCGTGCTGAGGACTCTGGGACCCTCCCAGGCAGGGGGATGCCGAGAGAGGCCCAGTGGGGGCAGCTGGTGTCCTCCGGCCCACACAGGGTCCCTCGGAGGGTGATGGGCTGCCTCACCCCCTGCTTGCTTTTCCGGCTCAGCCAGGGGCTCCTGAGCCTGCAGGCTGCGGGAGGTGACCCTGCTGTCCCCGGAGGAGAGGACAGGACAGGCACGTCCTTTAGTTTCCCATGGTTTCCTGTTGACAGTAAAAGCAGGGGTCTCCTGGCACATCTGCCACCCGCCAACATCCCCTGCAGGCGGCTCACCTCCCTCCAGAAGACGAAGAGGGTCCCGCTGATGATGGTGGCGGCAGACACGAGGATCCTGAGGAGGAGGGCCCTGCTCAGGATCGTGTCCTCCGTGCTCCGTGGCGGCTTCCCCAGGGTGTCCCTGTCCACGGGCTCCACGCCCAAGCTGCTCGGGTGAGAGAGGCACTGAGATAAACCAGGCTGTGTGAGTGCACACATGGGCCCCTGGGCCAGACGCCCAGGTCACCGCATCCTCTCCCCACCCCATGGCTCCTGCTGGGTGCTCCGTGGCCTCTGCCCTTCCTCCTTCCCCACCTGGCTGCTGCTGTCCCCAGAGAGTGGGGGCAACCACACCAGCACCTTCCCACGTCCCAGGAGCTCGGTGATTTTCTGAACCTGAGGGCCTGGGGGACGCAGGGCCGGAAGGCAGACTCGGCCCTCCCCAGATGACTGGACAGGGGCTGCCCCTCCTGGCCTTAGCTTCAGAGACACAAACTAGGCCTTTGCCTCCTTAATCAGCGCTAACAGTAACAGTGGAGCAGCCACGTTGGAGATGGCGCTCACGCCCAGCAGGCAGTGCCATTCAGTCCCGCAGGCCTCCAACTGTCCTTCAGCCGCCAGGCGTGGAACCAAAGCCCAGCCCCGTGGAGCCGGAGGGCTAATGGGGCACAATCGAGACACAAACGTGAGAACCCTGTCCCTGTTAGGGAGAGGCAGGGCAGGGTGTCGGGGTGGTCAGGGGGGACCTCTCGGAAGCAGCGGCCCGGCGGAGAGGGGCTCAACGGCTGCTTCCTCCTTCCCCGAGTGCGGCACTACTCGTCTCCTGGCTGGGACCCGGTGGCGTGACCCTGGGAGGGACGCCGGCTCCCCTCCCTCACCTCTGCGCCGGCGGCCCGTCCATGATGATATTCACCCACAGGATCTGCATGGCGTTGAGGGGGCTGGGCAGGTTGCACACGGTGGACAGAGTGATGAGGCTCAGGGCTGAGATGCTCCTGGGGGCACAGCGCACGCCGCCATCAGCCCAGCTCCCTCAGCCCTGGTGGCGCCCGGTGGCCGGGCCCCGCAGCCTCCACTCACGTGCTCAGCTGGAACCGCACGAAGTTGGTGATGTTGTAGAAGATGCCTTTACCCTCCTCCACGGCGCTCCTGCAGGGGACAGGGACGGCCCGCTGTGGTGAGCAGCCCTGGGGACCTAGCCCTCCGGTTAGACCCAGCACCCTGAGTGCTCAGTGCTCGGTCACCAGTTTGAGACACGGCAAACCCAAGGAACCCTGAGCATTAGACCCCGGAGACAGTGGAAGGGAGGTGGAGAAACGTCACCCACCTGTCTGCAGTTGGCTCCTCAGGGTCACTCAGGAGTAGAAACTGTCAAACCCCCCACTTTAATTAAAATTTGTCAAAATTTGCAAAAGATCTGAAAATACAATGCTCTATATTTACTGCATTTTATGACTAGTTGTTTTTATCGAGGGAAAAGCATTTTCAGGATTCCTGTGCTTCATCCCCTCCACTTGTTTTTTTTTTTTTTTTTTTTTTATTGAGGTGCCTT